AAATCCAAATGATAAACTGAAGCTGCCCATGAAATGGCATATATGTTATTTCTCGGTTTGTAAATATGTCCAGCTCATTGGCATATCATACACATACATAGCACAGGAATGAATTCTGATTCCTACACAGAGCAAGAGAAGATCATCTGCTTTGTAGTTCACGTTAGTGTCTGTCAACAAACTATACAGGCAAAAGTTGCCAATTACAGGTATTAAATAACAGAAAATTAAGATTTGACTATAACTCAGGCAGTGGTGGTACATGCCTTTGATCTCAGCACTGGAGAGTAGGGGGGGTGGGGTCTAAGTTTGAGGCCAGCCTGGTCTACAGAGCAAATTTCAGGATAGTCAGTGCTACACAGAGAAATCCTGTCTTGAAAAACAAACAAACAAACAATAAAAGGTATTTTACTATAATTTATTTTATTTGATAATCAAATCTGGTGCAGTTGGGAACGTGGGCGCCTTGGTGCAGCTGTTAGCATAGCAAGTCTCTGAGTGACCGAATGCTCTGTGCTCCATCTTCTCTCACGCTGACTTGCTGGCTTTGTTCTGAGGCCTGTTAGAGCACACTCAACATGGCTGTAGTTGTTCCTGGTGTTGGTTCAGATTCTATCTTCACAATAAAGATGCTTCACAATAAAATTGCTTTTTTAATATTTCACACAACAGATGACATCCAATGTGGGAGGCAAGAATCCACTAGAAATGTAAGATTCTTAGCCTGAGAGTTAGAAATTTGGAGGTTTGGTGAGCGGAGTGGAGCCAAGTCAAGTCACATGACTCAAGCACAGGAACCTTGAAACAAAGAGGGCTCTGAGGTTCCCTGCTGTGAAAAGAGACAAGATGGCTGCTCTGAGTCAGAGAGCTGCAGAGTGGAAGCTGCCTACGTCTTGGGGCAGATATTGATTGAACTGTGAATTTATAAAATTGGGATTTTAGGATAGATTTATATACAGATTTTGTCTGAATCACGTGGGAATTTTGCCCATGGTTTGGAACTAAGATAGGGAAAATTAGTCACTGACTCCAAATAGCGAGGACAGTGATAATTACCCGCTATAAACAAGTATTATAATAATGTCTGTGACTCGAGGTAGAGAGCCCAACGGATAGATGGTATGACAGGATGGCTGCTCTAGACAGAGAGCTTAACAAGTAAAAACTACCTGCTTCCTATAGGCAGATATTAGTGAAAGGTTGAACTAATTGCTTTAAAGATGGTATAAAGACATGTTGCTCTGATGGGTCTCACAGGATACTCAAATTCTGTCTAACGTGGGCTCCATGGGAAGTTTGGGTTTGGATCCTGGTTTGACAAGCTGCCTGCTTATAAGCAGGTATAGATAGAAGTGTGAATCAATTTTGTTGTTGTTGTCGTTTTTCAAGACAGGGTTTCTCTGTGTAGCCTTGGCTGTCCTGGAACTCACTTTGTAGACCCAGCTGGCCTCAAACTCAGAAATCCGCCTGCTTCTCCCTCCCAAGTGCTGGGATTAAAGGCGCACACCACCACTGCCCTGCTGTGAATCAGGTTTTTTTTTGTTTTGTTTTTTTTTTTTTTTTGGTTTTTTTGAGACAGGGTTTCTCTGTGTAGCCCTGGCTGTCTTGGAACTCACTCTGGAGACCAGGCTAGCCTCAAACTCAGAAATCGGCCTGCTTCTGTCTCCCAAGTGCTGGGACCCCCTCTTCAAAGATCTCTCAATGCCCATATTCAGCTGAAAGTAATTATGAAGAGTCCCCAGTTCCCTGGAGTTGGGGTTCTGGAGGTGGTTATTCTAAGTTGTCTTTCTGGGGAATTTAGAAATGGTCATAATTGGAACAAGGAGGAAATAGCTAGAATTGATCGTGTAGCCATAATCTCATTTGGTAGAAATCTTTACAATAATTACTAAATTGAAGTCATAATTTCTCATTTTGGTACAGAATTTATTTTGATACAGAATCAAGGTTTTCATTGGTATAAATTTCTTTTATTGATACGAAAAATTTAAAAGTACAACGCCTGGACCCAGCCCTTCTATAAATGTCATTACAAACTGATCTGAGATGATTAAGCCTGTGAGTTAAGGGCCAGATAGCAAATTCATAACTCTGAGTTTATTGTTAAGGTGTTTTCAAGATACTTTAACTAGAAACAGCTTCGAGTAGTTAACAGGCAAAAGTCCAGGTTACTTTACATAGATAATTTTCAAAAATCACATCAGAAATCCACAGAATGTGGAGCAAACACAACCCACAAATGCTAACAGCACAGGAGAGAGGGTACTCTGACGGCATGTCTGCAGAATCCCCAAAAAGGGCATCCCTGTAACAAAAGTCATCTTTACTGAAACTAAGATGGGAGAAAGGGCAGATTATCAGCTCACCTGAAAGGCTTCTAACCAATAATAGCCGGCCCTGTTTATTACAGAACAAATGCCTCCTGGCTTTATAGTACGTCCTGGGATTTAACTCATGAACCAGGATCCAGATTATAAAAGGTGACAGATTACTTTTACTGACAGTCGATCCTGATTTACATAAAACTAGATTACAGTAAAGTGAATATTATCTGTTTGTTAGTTTAGAGACAGGGCCTCGGGCCCCCCCCCCTCTCTCTCTTGTCCTAGCTGTCCTAGGACTTGATATATAGTCCAGCTGGGCTTGAGCTCATCGAGATCCTCCTGCCGCAGCTTCCTAAGTGCTAGGATTAACCATGTGTATCACCATGCCCAGTCCAGTACTTTTTTAAAAAAATAGCAATTTTAGATTAGTAAATATAATCACTATTTTTCCCTTTTCAAGACATGACTGGAGGGGCTGCAGAGGTGGCTCAGGGGTAAGGGCATTAGCTGATCTTCCAGAAGTCTGAATTCAATGCCCAGCACCCACGAGGAGGCTCATAACCAGCTGTAACTGCAGTCCCATGGAATCTGGTGTGCAAACAAAACATCCATATACAGAAAATAGATAACTAATTAATTTAAAATAGATATATGATTGGACTTAATTAGCAATGTTTAACTTTTCACAAAGATGAGAAATGCCACCTTGAAATCTACACGAGTGGGCTTCTTTCATTAAACTCAATTTAACCTGGTTTTCTGTTTATGGGTACCATGCCTGCACCTCTGTCTGTGCACTACGTGCATGCCTGGTGCTCTCAGAGGCACAAAGGAGCATCAGATCCCCTGGATCTAGAGTTACAGATGGTTGTGAGCCATCATGTAGGTGCAGGGAATCAACCTCAGGTCCTCTGGGAACTAGTAAGTGCTCTAACCACTGTACCATCCCTCCAGCTCCAAAGAACGGCTTTATACTTAGATTTATGCAATTGGTTCTATGAGTATGTTTTTACACTGGGAAAAATTCTCTTCACTGTCAGAACAAAGCAAGACTCACTCATGTTTCAGTTTTTACGCATTAGTGTGTTACAGACAAGACTCAAGGCAAGGAAGCAGGCGTTTGCTCTGCTCTTGACTAAGCCACTTTAATTAGGATTCCCTGTTACCTAAAGATGCTGCTTTTAGCTTACCAAAAAGTACTTAGTCTGGCTTATGTGTAATATCAGGTAAAAAATACCTAACACTTCTTAAAATAAGTAAAGTAAAATGACCCCTTTCCCCCTTCTACTTGTCTCCTGAGATTAAAAATAAATTAAGCATTTGAGCCCAACAATAATCTTTAAAAAAGATATTGCTAACAATGTAGTTGAAGACTATGAGTTAAACTTATTTTGACAAAAATTTGAGGGGACTTGGGGGTGACTCATGGTTAAGGATACTGGCTGGTCTTCTAGAGGACCTAGGTTCAAATCCCAGCACCCACATGGTAGCTAACAACCCTCTGCTATTTCAGTCCCAGGGGATCCGATGCCTCTTCTGGCCTCCTTGGGTACCAGGCATGCACATGGTACACAGACATACATGCAGGCAAAACACACACACACATAAAATAAAAATAAACTTTTTGAAAAAGAAATATGATAGAATTAATCTGTGGTGGTATAAATCAGAAAATAGCAGTGATTTCTTGGGGTCTTGGGTTGGCTGAAGAAGCCAGAGAAAACATTCTGAGATCATGGAAAGTTCTTATATATTATTAGGTATGTGGTCAAACTTATACTTGTGGTACACTTAGGAGCTGGACATTTTATGGTATGTAAATGCTATTTAAAAAAAAACTCATAGAGAAATATTCATGTAAAGAATAAAGGGTTTTGAACTGTTCTCCATTATGAGGGTTTGAACTACAATCTAGCTGATGAAGGGCAACTAATAGAGAAATTGCTAAATCATTGGAGCTAAATACATTTTGGCTCTACTATTCATAAGAATAATATATCCCTCGCCAGGGTTCTCTATCTGGGAATCAAGTGCAGAGTTTCCTTTCAGGCTTCAGTAGTTAATGGATTCTGCCTACAGGAACGAGTATAATTTAATAGCCATACATAGCATTGGGACGCACACCCACCGGTCTGCAGTGTCTGCTGCCACACATTTGCAACTAATACTGCAACTTTACCACAAGGACTGCAAGACAGTGCAAGACTTTTACAGACACGAAGAATGCAGTGATACAAGAGAAAAGTATTTAGCTTGTGTCTTTTTATTTTCTGTCCTCCTTTCCCATGAACACTTGAATATGTATAAAATCCAGACTGCCACATACCATATTTGGTAAAAAAGTCTTAACAAATAGCAAAAAGACGATTGAGATTGAAAAAGAGTCAACTATTTGCTGGCTGACTCGCACAGGCTGGTTGGTTAGGAACCACGGTGAACAGCCACAAGCATTAGTAAAAACACTGTTAGCATTTATTTGTTAGGATGAGGACAAACTGAGTTCAAACTAAAGCTAGAAAGGCAGAAAACTGCATATAAACTATAAATTCTAGCATTTCTCTAAAAGGCCCTGGCTCATTGACAAACGGATGCTGTTGAATAAAGCAATAGACCTTATTATCAGTTGACAGCTATGTGAGAATGACTTTCCCTGTCTTAAGGGACAGGCTTACATACCAAATCTGGCTTTATTCGGTGAACCAGTGGGAAGGAAAACCACATGGAGTACAAGGTTGTGAACACGGAGGAGAGCCAGGACTGCCGAACCTCACGGCTTCTTGGAATTCGGTGAAGGTGGTATTTGGGGTACTAGAAGGAAACACCAGAGACCCAAATAAATCAAGCTAATACTCAATTTAGACAGTTAGCATATTTCATTTTTAATTTTCATCTTGAATACTTTGAGTTGCAAAGCTTATTACATGTTTCATCTAACCTTACAACATCAGGTTATGAGGGAGAGGTTCCTAAAGGCAATTTAAAAAGCAAAGTCCATTTTGTCACTAAGTCGGAAGAGATCTTCCATAAAACATATTACAGGCCAAGTACAACATGCTGATATATACAAAGAGAGCTGATAAATCAATATGTAAAGCAACTTTATATCAAGATAGAGAAGACAGACAGATAATTTCAAATAGAAGAAATACAAACAGCCAACAAACAAGAGGAGACAGTTAACACGGAAACACAAGAAAAGACGGTAATTCCTCAAGTCCTTGCTGAACAGTAATAGACACCCAGTGTTGTTGAGGGCATAGAGAAATAGAGACATACATTCCCTGTGTGGATATGGTGGTACAACCTTCAGGCAGTGGACAGTGGTTAACACAAGCCTGGTGATTCCAATTCCAGAACCCATGTAAAAGTGAGGAAGAGAAACAACTCTGCAAAGTTGTCGTCTGACCTCCAGATGTACAAGTGTATGTGTGCACACACCTCTAAATTAAAAACAAAAAAGGTCTCAAGCTGTCTTTAAGCCTGTGGGGTGAAGCTGCAGTGTTCGATTTCTAATGTACTTTAGTGACAGTGCTGGTCAGTGGTGTGTAACCCACGAGTGTGCTCAGTGTTCGATTTCTAATGTACTTTAGTGACAGTGCTGGTCAGTGGTGTGTAACCCAGGAGTGTGCTCAGCTCTTACATACTGCGCCCATTCTTGGAGGGCAGAATTCATGCACAGGGAGCGGTAATCAAGAAAGCAAAAAGTAAACCTGGGCACCTGCATTATTATTATTAATTATTAATAATTTAATAATTACTTATTGAAAAATAATAAGAACAAAAATCCTTTCTCTGGACAGAAACAAAAAGCATGAACAATAGGTGTAACTTTAGTTTTTCAAGCCTTAGTTTAATACTATTTCTTTGTTGTTGTTGTTGTTTGTTTGTTTGTTTTTTGTTTTTTTGAGACAGGGTTTCTCTGTGCAGCCCTGGCTGTCCTGGAACTCACTCTGTAGACCAGGCTGGCCTCGAACTCAGAAATCCGCCTGTCTCTGCCTCCTAAGTGCTGGGATTAAAGGCGTGCGCCACCACCGCCCAGCTAAAACTTTTTTTTTTTTTCTGGCTTTTCGAGACAGGGTTTCTCTGGCTGTCCTGGAGCGCACTCTGTAAACCAGTTAATACTATTTCTTAACCGCCTTAACCTCCCTTGTAGCCCACCACTGAACAGAGGCAGTGGAAAAGAAAGGATTCGGGAAGGGGAAGTGGGGAGGGGACCTGTTTAGAAAGATTCTTTGAAACAACTCCTGTCTGTGTTGTCTGGAAATCGGCAGTTCAGTTCACAGGTCAGCAGCGGCAGCTCTATCTACCTGCAAACACTTCATGGACACACCAGTAGTCTAGTTCGGTAGAGTTGGAATAGCAAACAGGAATCAGCAGCGATGGCACTACCTAGCAGAGTCAGCCAGGCCTCAGCCTTGGCACGAGTCAGCAGGAGGGACCAGGAGGAATGCCAGAAGTTCTCAGTTGTGCCTCTCTCAGGGAAGTGAAGATCAGCGAAGACCGGAGACCAACAAGCTCTGTAAGCAAGCCTAGCGCAGTCCCCACCCCCACATCACAGTCCATGGAGTCCTTTCATAGTCCCTCCAAACATCACATGAGTCTTGCCTTACTTAGCACTGTGCCCTTCCCAGCCTTGAGCAGGCTGAATAGACCTTGTTTACCACAATAGGACCTAGGTGGAGTCATCTGCCTGGCTGCACATACAACTTCCTACAAGAACTTAGAATAGACTGCCCGCTGAGCGTGCCTTGTGACATAGTCCAGCTGAAACAAAGGATGGGTTCAGTGGGCTTCCCCTATAGATACAAGTGCTGAATACTAGACTTAATCAGAAAACTTTGTCTTGGCTCCACGTTTCTCTCACCCCTCCATCTCTTTTTCATTTCTAGCCCTCCTTTCAGGTGAACCCAGCTCGTCTGTGGCAGCACAACGTCTGTCTCAGCTGACATCACTCTGCCAATCAGCATGAGCTCAGGGGAGAGGCAAAAAGTTCTGGCACACCACCAGAAGGTTTTTGGTGCGATTCTCTCTATGGAGTCCTGACAAATGCAGCTCAACTATGTAAATGTAAGGCAGACCAACACATGTGTGTCCTTAGCAAAGAATCCTTCATCACGGGTCCTTTCATATGCTAGCTTTAGCAGAACAACCTTTCTCCTGTGTCTGCTTCAGGGAAACGTTCCTTCACGAGTCTGCCTTTCACCTGTGTCCACTTCAGGAAAATACTCCTTCACATGTTTGCACCAGCAAAACGCTATCTAACACAACGGATTCTCCAAAGAACCCTTACATTTCCACTTCAGATAGGACCTATCACGAGTTAGCTTCCTGTAGGGAAATGAAGATTTATGTTGGGTCTGGCAGAGCTTCATGGAGAGATGGGTTAGACCACATATATCTTTCTGAAACCTCATTCTACAGGCCCATAGCTTTTCGCTGATCTCAAATGTCTCTGCTACTCCCTGGCTCAAGTCATCACCATCCTTCACCTTGGCCGCTACTCCCACAGCTTCGTAATGGTCTCTTCCCTACTTTTATTCTCATGTAATTTATTCTCTACAGAATAGCCAAGACTCATCTTTTGATAATAGAAAGCAGATCCTTTCATTTTCCTGCATAAAATCGCCCAGATTTTCCTGCACTTGGGATAAGGTCCAAGCTCCCTGTAGGCTCCCATTAATCTGGTACCAGTGTGTCTCTTATCCTTCCTTGCTCACTCAACAGTCCACAGCCTGTGTCACACTTCTTTCTGAAGACCTCTTCCTCTGCTCCATCTCACCATGTCAGCCCTGTCCCCAGACAGTCTCACAGTTAGCTTTGTCCTTCAGATCAGTTCCCAACTGAACAATATCTGTTCAGGGGACAGACAGCGCCCTCCACCAATGCTCTGCTTCATGGTCTTCACAGCAATTATTGGTACCAACTTAACCTGTTGATTTATGTGTTTGACTCTCTGCCTCTCTTACCAGAGTGCAGCTTGAGAGAATTTTATTTTTTTCTACTGCTGTAATACTAGGGCCTAGTCTGGTATCTCCCAAATTTTAATCTTGGCAAACATTTACTGTATTATTGTAGGAACTTTTCCTGGGGTGACGTGAACATGCATCTTCTACCCCAGATAAGGTGTCAACGACAGATGGAAGAAATTATTCTGCCCAAGTTTAGTTTGGAGAACTAATGAATGTAAGTGAACTTACAGTAGTCTGGGTGAGAGGCTATCTACAGTAGCATTGGGCAATATACCACTGAATAAAATGTCTCCCTATCCTCTTCTATGTTTTTAGGGAAGGGGGAGCCTCAGCCTTCTGGTGTGCACTGCCTTAGGAGCCCTTTCCTCACCTCTCAGACCTAATGTTAGTAGACACCATCCTGTGCAGGTCTCTTGTGGGTAATCACAACTCCTGAGAGTTCAAGAGGACAACGGCCATGGTGTGTCCAGAGGACAGTGTCCAACCATGCATACAGAAAACTGTCATTACAGTTTCTACATGTTCAGTCTGTGGTCTATGCTCAAGATGGTGAGGAGGATGACTCTACCTCTTCATGATCATCCTGGGGCCGAAGAGACCAACAGCTCCAAACTCTTCACTTCACATTTGAGGAGTCTACCCTTTCTCAAGGAGACAGTGTCAGGACCTGGGCCCAGACTTTCAGATGCCCTGATATATGTGGAGTGGTCCTTTGTATGGGTGTTTCTTGGATCCCCGTGCCTTGCTGACGAGATGTTAGAAACACTTCCCTAATACTTTAGAAACTACACCATCTCCACACGGAGGTTATACATCCTACTGTCCTAGTGTACAGCCTGGCCATTTCCTTTTCTTTGTTTTTCTTCCTTTCCTTTTTTCCTTTTTCCTTCTTTTTCCCTTTTTCTTCTCCTTTCCATTTCTTTTCCTCTTCCTTTTGCTTTTTGAGACAGGGTTTCTCTGTGTAGCCCTGGCTGTCCTGGAACTCACTCTGTAGACCAGGCTGGCCACAAACTCAGAGATCACCTTTCTTTAGCCCTCTCCCTATTCCCCATCCTGACCCCTGAGTTCTGGGACTAAAGGTGTGCACCACTGCCCCAGGTTCTTTGTTCTTCAATTCACCTTATATTTATATACTGATGGCCAAAAGCCTACAGGCCAAAAGCCTACAAATCTCTCGCTCTCTGTGTATGAGAACTCTGCCCTCCTATGTCTTTGTCCTGTGTCAGTTCTACACTATTGGTTGAATTCACCAGTCCCATCTACCACTGTCAGCAGTGACAGGCCCCACCCTCAGACCTCCAAGGCTCTGGGAGGAAATGCATAGGACCTTGAAATCTTCAGATTTTGTTGACTTCCAGACCCTGCATTTCTTCAAGAGAGTCCTGCAATTTTGGTGTTGCTCTAGACTGGCAGCCAGTGGCTGTGGGGATCTGAGAAAGGAAGCCCTTAGGTGTTTCATCTCTCTCTGTACAGTTTGCTGTGTACACCTCTGTGATGGTTTATATATGCTTAGCTCAGAGAGTGGCACTATTAGGAGGTGTGTCCTTGTTGGAGTAGATGTGTCACTGTGGGTGTGGGCTTAGGACTCTCACTTTAGCTGTTTGGAAGCCAGTATTCTGCTAACAGCCTTCAGATGAAGATGTAGAACTCTCAGCTCCTCCTGCACTATGCCTGCCTGGATGCTTCCATGTTCCTGCCTTGATGATAATGAACTGAACCTATGAACCGATAAGCCAGCTCCAATTAAACGCTGTTCTTTTTTTTTCTTTCTTTTTTTTCATATATATATATACCATTGCTCTCTTCAGACACACCAGAAGAGGGCATTAGATTTCATTG